TCTGATTGTTTAATTCCAGCTGTAGCATTATGATAAGAACTGACACAAACGCTACAGCGTGATTTACTTGAGCCATGACTGACAGTGCGATATTTGTGCAAACTCAGTTAAAAACCCTGATTAAAATGCATTTTTCACTACACAGTGGGATTTGAGCCTCACCACTATGAAGGCATTACCCATCACATGCTGCTATTTGGTTGCATGCAGCCCGGGTCCTCCAGAGATGTCTGGTGAGAGTGTTACTTTTTTAAAGCTAGGGTTAAATGAATGTAGGCTAGTACCTTTTTTGCCATACAAGCAATGGATCAACCAATTCATTATAATAAACACCAACTGCTATTGATTGTCTTCAAATCAAGTTTAATAATTAATTTATTAACCTCTCAATACTATTGAGTAACGTTGATTGGTATGTAGGATCGTAAAAAACATGGTTTAGCTAAAAATTGTATTGAAATCTGCATTTGCCTTCCTCTCTTTAGTTTAATAATGTAATCACGGGCTGCAGAAATGTTTATGCCTTGTAACCCCCATCACTTTATTACTCTCTCTGTAGGAACTGCAATGAGATGGGAGACAAGGGTTACGGTTCTGCTCCCCCCTGTGCTAAGGGTAACCAGATCATTTATGCATGGGCAATGGATGCACCCAAGCTAGAACTGCCAGAGGGTAAGTAGAGATAAATTCTGGTAGTCTGTGCTGTTGTGCAACAACATTGATTAGAGTTACTGTAGCTATATGCTAACTTGATATTTTGGCAATGCCATTGTGTTATAAATAATTAAGTGCAAGGGTAATCTTAGTAGTATAACTCTACCATGAGAATGGCACATCAGGTAGCCTGTGCTGTTGCGAAATAATGTCATATTAGATTATACAGTTATTTTGTCATTTGTCATAAGATTAATTGCAATAGTATGTCATGAGAATAGCACCTACTGACCTCTGTTTCATCTTGTTAGTTATTACCTATTTAACCAAATTTGTTTCATGCTCAGGTGTTGGATTCAAGGTTGGAGGAAACACTGACATACAGTACCTTGTTCTACAAGTGCATTATGCACATCCTGAGAAACTAAGTGAGTACTGGTAGAAAATAAGGGAATTGAGCCTGGTTGGCGCATTAGGCTATTATCGAAGAGCTTCTTTTAGGTTCTGTCATAGATTCTGTCAACAACAGTGTGTTTGTAACACGCCAGTATAAACATAACTCAGAGTGAAAGATAACACACATAGTTTATTCGTCCACTTCTTATTCCGCCATCTTCCAACTACCTCGATCACACCACGTGACCCTTCACACGTACAAGACTACGCGGTGTGATACAGTGTTTTACATTCTCAGTGGTTCTGTTACCTTCCCATTACCACATATGGGCCCGCCAAAACGTGGCGATCCAAGCCACGAGGGATTTACGGTCCCCAGGCTCATAGATAGAGTCTTTAAGTATAGGACCATGTCCGACTATTACTCGCGCGCGTGGGCGCGGCGGCATCGGCGACCACATTCGTCTGCTACATGCCAGGGTTCAAAATTACGGGCAGCAAGCAGCAGCTTTCCTGGTTACAATCGTCAATTTGCTGCCCGCTCTCAACGTCGGCAAAATGCGCTCGCCGCCAAGAAATTCCTAATAAACCACAGCAAAGCACCCAAGATTCTGCCTGAGTGATTAAATTTGCTGTCTGCCGATTTTCTCTGGCAATGAATACTCGCTGCTTGGTAAACAGCTTCATGATTCTAACCCTGTTTGTGCTATCCTCGCGTGCAGACGGAGGGATGGACGACTCGGGGCTGGTGCTGAAGGCGACGACGACGCCGATGCCGAAGCGAGCCGGGGTGCTGCTGATGGGCACGGCCGGGGAGCTGGCGCCACACGCAGAGACGCACATGGAGACGGCGTGTCAGATCGAGGACGACATCGTCATGCACCCGTTCGCGTACAGGACCCACACCCACAGCCACGGTGAGTGTGGGGGGGGGGGGGGGTGCGGGGCGGTCGTGGGCCAGGGGTAAGGCATTCTAGCCTTAGAGATCGATTTATTAGAGACAAAGTTAGAGCAAGAGGTAGAGTTAGAGTTAGTAGGGCTAGTGGAGTGAATTCAACCAGGAGGTAAAGTGCAGGGGGGAGGAGATCATGGGGTCAGGCGAGGCGTGCCTGGGGTTGGCCAGCTCGGAGTATGTGACGGTTAGAGTTGGTTTAAGGTAGATTTAGAGTTATAGTTAGAAGGGGTGGTGGATTGAATTCAGCCGGGGTGAGCTGGGATGGCGATATGGGGTGCAGCCATGGTTAGCAGGGGGAAGTGGGTTGCAGCAGATGGGATAGGATGGGGATTGAGGAATGCAAAGTTAAGTCACATCCAGTTAAGTACATCACTAAACCAGGGTACTGTTAATTCATGTGCGCAATAACTGTGAGCACATGCCATAGCAACAGCAGATACAAGTACACGTGCATGTTGTGCTACTCTACATCACACATATTTTGAGGTTTTTGGACGATCGGTGTGCATGTTACTATCTGATCCTCAAACTCGACAGAGTGGATGTATTTGATAAGTATCTTGCAGGCACTGCCGTGTCAGGATACGATATCCGTGATGGAGAATGGAGGGAGATCGGAAAGGGAGATCCGCAGAAGCCTCAGGTTTGTAAGATTAACGAGCCTATATCTTTCCAATTTTTTCCAAGAGAGATAGTTTCTAGTGCAACTAATTTACTCGCATATTTATTAAATTAGTAACGTTGATAACAGTGAGGAAACCTGCAGGTGGTTTTATCACAAACCATATTGATTGCTTGTCTAATCGATTTTTCATCATTCACTCTCATAGCTCCCGCAACCGTTACGATGAAATAGTTGCACAGTGGCAGCAATGACGAAGCGTGCGATGTGACTTATAACTCACTCAACGTTTATTACAGATGTTCTACCTGATTAATAAGCCTGGAATGACCATTGAGCAAGGCGATATTGTGGTGAGTGTATAGCCTGTTAGGTGGTGCAGGATGTAAACCATAAAGCCCGGCGCACACGTGAGTAATTTTACTCACGTGTGCGGTGGATTTTCGTTGAGTAATTTGACGCATGCATCAAGAAACTCAATATCAAACGTGTTTGATAATTTTTGACTCATGCGTCATTTTACTCAAAGTGTGCACGTGAGCTGAGTAAATTTACTCAACACTGGTGATCACAGCGCATGCATTTAAATCATTGTGCGCCCAGTATTGGCTGCGCACAGTCACGTTATCTGCATTACCACTTATACCTTGAGTAATTTTACTCACGTGTGCGGCAAACGCTGAAAATATTACGCGTGAGTATTTTGACGCATGCATGATTTTACTCACGTGTGACTGTGTTCTAGCGCAGTGGATGCGATTCATACGCTCTGATGCAAGGCAGCCAGGTTTTCACTTCCTATGTTATTGTATATTTTCCCTGCTTGAGTGATCATGCTTTTACAACATGTATTACCTATCACCTTATCAACTAGATAACTGGTTGGAATAAATTACCTGTTCAGTCTCTCCTGAAAGACCAAGGGCTTCTCTTCTGCATGTATGCCACAGCAGTTCAGACCAGTTATACCAGCTCCAGCTGTTACTAATGCGAGGGCTGGCCTGTATATGAGAAGGCATTAATAGACATGATCTCCCTTCCCTAAATGTGATGAAATGACGACTCATACAAATCTAATTAGATTTATAAAGATATTATATTAGATTCTTAACTCACGTTAGTGAATTGGAATATATCACCCACTATTATATTAGCTTATTATTTCCCTTATTACAAAATCAGTAAATAATTTACTGTCTCTATCATAAAAATATTAATTACCATTGCACTGACGTCTACTGTCAGAGACCAGACCATACGACAATATGTGTTATGTGCTCTAGGCAGACATGGCTGGTCAAATTGGATATCGTTTTGCCGGTGTTCCTGACATTTGCACTTCCTCATTTCAGGCCGCACGTTGCACCATGATGAACAACGAGAACAAAGTCGTAAAAGTTGGGTAAGTATCCGCTCATGGTTGCTAACAGATGTGATGAATATAACAATAATACAGTGTAAGGTGCGGCTTATAATACAGTAGTACTTGTAACAGATACAGATGTTCTTCTAATATCATCTAATCCTAAACTCTGAAACATTTTTAATGAAATTATATACTGCAATTGAAGGTTATCTAACACTATTCACTGAATTGATTGTAATCTACAGTATTCTTACCTTGGAATAATTCACTTTATTTACTGTGAAGTCCCACATACCTGGCTGCATAGGTGGGCCACCATAGTTTAGGAACCGCTAATGATGCAGCACCCACAATGAGAACATTTCGCTCTGTTGCAGGGCCGGCATGGACGATGAGATGTGCAACTTCTACATCATGTACTGGGTGGACAACAATCGACTTCTGAGTCGCAACAACTGCTTCACGAGCGGGCCACCCAGCTTTTACTGGAGCAGCGTGCCCGAGCTCGGAGAAGCACCTGCCGACGCCAGCACATTGGACTAGTCGCGAGTGCTGCCATCTGGTGGAGCCTAGTTGAAGCATTTAGTGTGTGAGAGCTGTCGACTCAATGGGTCAAGGGAGGGGGGGGGGAGGAAGTTGAATATTGATGTTACATTAACTTCGTGCCTAATAACTTAAAAGCGTACATGTCAGGGTGATGTCTATTGAAGCAAATATGATTTGCAATACTTAATTACGCACCCACCTAGAAAGCATGCACGGAGATCGAGTTATTCCGTTGGAATGACATATTAAACTTGCAAGGATCCGCACCTAGCAACTAATGTAAATTATGAGCCAGCTTATTGCCAGCTTTCATATGCACACGTACTTGCATTTTTTAGAACTGATCTACCAATAGTTTGTGTAATCATGCACCCTGATCCATAGGATCAACAAGAACTATCTTGTGTCATGAGGAACTGACACATGGTAGCGACCAAGATGGAATCTTTGAGAATTTACTCACACAAGAATTTCATATGAATGTGCAGTCTGTGAAGATATGTGAGTAACAGGTTGATACCAGAGTAAACTCATTGATCGTTGATTCATTATTTTATTGTGGTATCCTGATATTATTGAGGTTGCAAGCAAGATGAACAAGAGTTAGCTATTTATTTAGTGCACAACATATATGGAATCTATATATTTACATCCCACCAATGAAACATTTGTTATAATTGTAAATCATATATATATATATATATATATATATATATATACATGCGTGTGTATTGTAGGATACTATTTATTTATTTGTATATGTTGCAAAATGAAGTTTTACCATGAGCAAATCAGCCATTGGTCTCATATTAAAATTTTAAAACATTCTATTACATGTTTAGCATATAAATATTGTGTTGAATGATATTAACATATTAAGTATTGCTTGCCTAGTTTAATTGCTACATTAAAAATTACATTAACAGCTATAAATTGATGGATTCATTAACAAGCAAATGGAAGAAAATGTATTTGTTTTCACAATGCAATGCTGTATAATGTATGCTGTACTTTACATTTATGTATAAATTAAACGTCTATTGTAGTTGTGTTGCCAACTGCACTGTTTGTATTTTTTGTATATAAATGTAAATGAACTTCAGTGTGTTTACAAGTAATATTGAGAAAATTATTAGAAAAATCTCGTATTCAGTTGAGTAATTACAACTGTAACTTATCATAATCACAATGGCAAAACAACAAATTGTGGAGGTAACATACTACACAACAGATTCAGATGTTGAAAGTTAAATCATGTAATGCTTAAACTGTGCAAAATGTGTTGGAAATGCATGCATAATACAAACTGGCTGCAGGTACATCAATGGTAGTCTACTGTATACCATCACCCCACAACAGCAGCAAATTATTCTCAACAACCATGATGACAACAAAGTATATGCCAGCAAGAATAGAGCTAAAATGTTATGAATAAGTTCACATAAAAGGTTTGCTGAAAATCGCCTATTAACGCTCAACAATGAGCACTAAAAGTGGGTAATTATAATCAGGAGTAGATAATAGGGAGGAGTGTGACATCAATAAACAAGGGAAATTTGTCATTTACTAGCCTTATAATACCTACGATTTACTACGCGTAACTCATCCAACTTGAGCTCAAATCGGACACAGTACATTCGCCTATCATCGTGCGAAATCGTTTCCTCGTAGACACCCGCAATCCGGAGATACAGCCTAAAACATACGACACGATTCTCCATTCTTTGGCCATCAATCCAACGCCATTGCGCGCCTATAATTCAAACAAAAGGCAGCTACCTAACGCGCTATTGCTAACTCAGCGAGGCATGTGGCTCGCTGGGAGATTAGGCATCAACACTCGGCGAGATAACCTTTGACCCGGTACACAGCTACACAGGCCACCTCTGTACATAGCTGGCATGCCTTCACGCACGCACGCCAACCGCATGATTAGCTCGTCGAGTGTTGCGTCGATGTCAAATCTCCCCGCGAGCCACAACGCCACATTCCGCATTCCGAGAGAGCAAACACAGGCTTTACACAGCGACTGCGCGGCAGTGTTGCTGCCTTTTGTCTGAATTATAGGCGCGCAATGGCGTTGGATTGATGGCCAAAGAATGGAGAATCGTGTCGTACGTTTTAGGCTGTACCTCCGGATTGCGGGTGTCTACGAGGAAACGATTTTGCACGATGATAGGCGAATGTACTGTGTCCGATTTGAGCTCAAGTTCGATGAGTTACGCGTAGTAAATCGTAGGTACTATAAGGCTAGTAAATGACAAATTTCCCTTGTTTATTGATGTCACACTCCTCTCTATTATCTACTCCTGTTATAATGAACCTGGTCGTTCACGTAGACGGCTTCCTTGTCGTTAGCTGTTGTCATTGTACCCGGTGCTTGTCTCTATGTGCGAGCGGATGCGCGAGGTGTCTGCCCTCAGCTCGCTGTCATCTGGCTTTAAGCTCAGAGCCGCGTCATAGTCCATGAGGCCTGAAAGCAAATACAGCAAAGTCCCTCACAGCATCATCACAAGATACACATTCACAAATTTACTGAAATTACACATTACACATTTTTTACTGACATTACACATTACACATTTTTTACTGACATTAGTGGGTGCTCATTGTTTATTTCTGTACGTATCATTTAGCAGTGAAAACGGTAGAAAAGCTTTACCACCGTACAGTAACCCAGGCCATTTACTAGCTGTGTCTAATTAGGGACTATATATGTATGTAGGCAGCTAAAGGTTTACCTTCTGGATATAGTTGCAGCTCACAAAATGCTGTGCCCCGTCGTACATGCGCCTTCACACGTGCCTCTCTGTTTCCCTCCACTGGGGGCACCAACAACTCCAGAGCCTAACAAACAAAATCGCACACATTAGGAATGTGAGTGCTGTGAGGGTTAGTAAGATTTGTATGACTGAAACCGCTACGCCATCCATGCTATAATACGTTGTACTTTGATTACACTTCGATTTATTGACGACTATAAATGGCTTTATGTAAAACCACCAAGAGAAATTAATACAACAAACTGGAGAAAAAAGTTTCAGGGCACCGCCCTATACAGGAATTACCACATTCAATGTTGCCTATCATGAGGTGCTGTCACCTGGTTGCTGATGCGAAAAGTTTATCAAAAGACATGGGAATGAGGTCATAGTAGACCTACCTTGGAGCTGTCTTCAATGCATTTGTGAAAGTTTCTCACCAATAAGTGACAGGCAGCTCTGTTGGAAAACAACCTGATCGTGTTTGATAAGGAACAATTAATCTTTCATGTAAATCTCCAACAATTCCATTAAGACTGATTCCCAGTACTACACTTTACACCAGCATTAATTCAATTACAAGACCAAAAATTACGTGAGGAGAGAGTAGGGGATAGGGAGAGGACAAGAGAGAAGGAGAGGCAGAGGGAGAGGGAGAGGGAGAGGGAGCAGAGAGAGAGGGGGAGAAAGAGGAAGAGATAGAAGCAGTGAGAGATAGAAAGAGAGAGAGGGAGAGAAAGAGGAAGAGATAGAAGCAGTGAGAGATAGAAAGAGAGAGAGAAAGAAAGAGAGATAACGGGATAATAGGAGAAGCGAAGGAGCCAAAAATCACAACAACCCCAACCATAATTCTTATGCTTTCTTTACCCATAATTGTGATACTAACTGTCTAACACCAACAATATCTGTCATACCATACCCCTAACTGCAACTGCAACACCACCTGCATGCATAATCATAACTGAAGACAACTTGTATATTTTGTCACCTATATATCTGCTGTCGTTCATTTATAAGGATACGCTGGCAGTTTAGCATTTAGGCGGATGGCATGGGAGTAAACACTGATCGCGCCTTCTACGTTTCCTTGTGTGAAGAATGAGCTGAAACATGGAGAGGTATGAGCAGATGTCATGCACCATGCATATACATATTCTGATTACAGGCAAAGCGACCAATAAATGGATCTCAGAGGGATCATGACCACATGTGCTATTACCACTTAAATGGAGAAATCATAGATGTTGACACAGATTTTTAGAATGCCTAGGACATTTGATTAAAAGAATCCAGTTTGACAATTTCCAATCACAATTGCCCTGTGTCTGACAGCAAAATTAATTAAACACGGATTTAAGGCTACCATAAATCATGAAAACCATAAATTGTTCCTGCTTTCACAATCTAGAGATTGCACAGTAGCTACGTAACACAGCGACTTTGAGGTGACAGGTTAACCAAAAAAATCTATGCGTCTGGCTTTGACTCCATCTACACATAACCATTTCACATTATGTACGTGCTTTCTAAGCTGTGTTGTCTGCCTCGTTGTATGTTGGGTTCACTCACTCTCCTTTCTCCTTCAGCCACACAGGATCCCTCTCCTCCTCTGTAAGGTCCATGTCATCTGCCTCAATTCGCTTCCTCGCTTCTACCTGCTTCTTCAACCACTGAAATATATAGAATAAAATGTAGAGTACACACAAATAGAGTCGTCACTTTTAATTCATGCGGGTAATGTTTTACTTCATGTCTTCTGAAATACAGAATGTGAGCCCAGCAGCTCATTCCTTTACCAAGATATGGTACTCAGTACATTATGACAAAATCTCTACATTCTATTAATTCTCTATAAAATATTTATTATTCTCTTAAAATTTCTATAAATTTATTCACCAAGTTATTTTTCGAAAGGAACACAATAAATAACATTGACAACGTAGAAAAAATCATGGCAGCATCATCTCCATGACAACACCGGAACAAAGAGCCAACAACTATCTAACACTACTCAAGTACTTATTTACATTCATCAGCATCTTCTATTAAAGCAGGGCTTGAAACTAACCTAAAATGTTCACTAGCCAGCAGGGCTAGTGACCTGTAAAATCTACTAGCCCTTAAAAATATCTCCCAGCCCTTACTTTTCTGAAGTGCCGCGCTGAGGCTACGCAGTGAGTAAAATTTTGCCATTTGCGGGGAGGTGGGGGGAGGTGAGGTGCATGGGTGGATCTGGGTTTTGATTTTAGACGCTCCGAGATGCATTCTGCGAAATCCTGACTGTGAAAATTTAGATTCAGCGCATATATTCAGTATATATATATATATATATATATAATATATATATATATATATATAAATATACATAAATATATATATTATATATCAAGAGCTAATAAATACCTAGAGTGTTACAACGCGGAAAATAGTGCCATTTCACGGCAATATTATTCTACTTTTGTATGGCGTTCTAGAATAAGTTCATGGTATTGCGTTAAGCAGCATCTTGCTCTCTAAAATAGAGCAACCGCTTGTCTCTACGATACTCCTAGGCCGAGATATTGGAGGCGTAATCATGCCTCCCACAGGCCTCAGTAGAATATATTGCCCGTGAAAATAGCAGCTATTCCCAGTTTTTCCATTGTACACTCTAGGTGTATATTAGCTCCTTGATATACTATACCAGTGCTCAATTTTAAGGTTTTTTTTGGCGTTGTCCCGGAGGACATGGTTGTCCCTCAAGGGTTTTGGTTGTCCGGATATTATTTAAACATGTGCTGCATGCGCTCTGCTCACGTGATGCTCAGTGCTGTAAAGCAAAAGGCCTAATCATGTACATTTTGTACGTATTGCAGTGACAGCAGACCTGGCCATTCCGCATTGTTTCACTCATTATATCAGAGCAGATAAAGAAGCGTCTTTCTTTATTCTAGATAAAGTAAAAGGAAGCGTCCTTCTTTATCTGCCTCTGTGATATATTGAAGATAATAAAATATTCGTAAGTGGTAAATGATGCTGGCGATCAATGCACTATAATAATAGTAATGTAAAAGTTGCATGAAATTTATTCATGAAACTTACATTGAAGTTAACTAATGTGTACTAATAGTACTGAAATAAGACTACTAACATTACTAACATCTAACACCTGTGTCAATCACAGATGAGTAAAAATTGAAAATTGGACACGAACATTTGTGTTAAAAAACATTGTGTAATAAACGAAACATTAGTGTTTGTTAAACACGTGATTGTTATACTTTGTATCTAAGGAAGCCAGACAATGCGTCTAGGACATGTACGTTTGCAGCGTATTTGTGCAACCCTGGCCGTATGTAAAATGAACGGCGCGCATTATGATATAACAAGAGCGCCGCAGAGCGTCTGGCTCATCTGAGGTTCTGCTTGCTAACGATTATAAACGTAAAATTTCAGTCGTACGCTATACCACATTTGTTAGGTCGGCAGATATGCAGACACGCAGTTGCGTACACAATCATTGTAGGCACACGGCCCACTATCGCAGTCGAAATGGAGGGTAGCGGAGGGTGGGGGAGGTGGCGGGAGGGTGGGGGGAAGGGGCGGGGAAGGTGGGGGAGGGGAAGGGGGAGGGTGGGGCAGGGGGCTTTATAGCAAAAGCGTTCAGCTCCTTTGTTAACAGTCAACAAATCACATGTTTAACCTCCTCTTAGCAGGCTGCAAAAGGTATCCGACACTTACTCTCGCAGTGTCAGCAGAAGGGAGCATTTCATGGTCCTTTCATAATAAGCCCCATAAAAAGCTAGGTCACGCGCTGAAAAAAAAGTTTTTTCGAATCGCTCCGTCAGAGCCATGTGCCTCAGAAAATGCTCTAAATCTGGCCCTGTGCCCCATTGACTTTTGACCTGTGACGGCTCCATTTCGGCACAGTGATGGCTTTTCCTACCATGATGCGTATAGCACGAAACTATCACGCAGCCGAGTCCGAGGGCGTTTAGATTTGTGCCGCAATTTCTGCATTTGCTCCCTATATCCTGTTAAGTTAAGAGTGAACTGTTCGCCCTTATTTACACCTCTTGACCTTTGACCTTTGGCCCCCCCAGCTTACGACATCCAACTCCGTTTTCGGATACCCCGCACGTCCGCAATATCGTGACGCGTACGTCGAGCGGTTAAGATTTCGTGCCCGAACTGTGACGACGCACGGACGGCACGGCACGGACGCAACGGAACGCACACGCCGACGCCATCATGCGATTCTAGAAGCTGCCCATCTGACTATGTCAGATGAGGCTAAAATTCCACTCGCCACACAGGGCTGCGGCAGACAAGACTATTCTACTAGCCTTACTAATTTCTACTAGCTCGAGGCGAGACGGGGCGAGCGTTGTTTCAAGCCATGTAAAGGGAGAGTTTACTCTAGGTTTAGCGGTTATTTTCAGCTAATTTAGGTTATAATTACGCTACATAAAAATTCATGTTCAATCACCATTAGAAATATTATTAAAAATGTTTTAAAAACCAACGACTACAGTTTGATTACAACGACGGTGGCGCCACTCAAAGCGCACGATCTGATAAGTTGCGCAAACCACTTTCCAGCCAAGGGCTACAGACCGAGGGTGTTTCTTATTTATTAATTTCTCAAAGCAAAAGGATTGTATTTTCTTATAAACGACATATAGTTTCAGTTATAATATGGATAAATTTGCCCTAAATGAATATCGTTCGGTTAAATGCATTTAGGTATAAATATAATTGCACTTTTGTGATTAGCCCTCAGTCTGTAACCTGCAAAATAAAATTGTCAATACGCAACTTTTCGGGGTGGCAGCACGGTCGCGGCGGGTATCATGCGCCGCTTCAAATTTCGTAGCGTTGATGTGGGAATAATTATAACAATTAAATTAGGTATCTGGTAACAAATACGTGTGGGTATAGACAATTTGTTATACAGTAAGTACAGTTGTATGCAGTAAAATCCTAGAGGCTACTGTCCCTTTAAGTTCTAGTTTTTCTCCGCTATTATGCGCAGGGCACTGCATGGCTCTGCCCACATTTTGTGCTATACCTCCTCCTCCAGGGGCGTTTGTGACTCGCGTGTCGGCGTGGGGAACACCCTAGGTGAAAATGTCACTGAGATCGTGCCAGCAGGACGGACACTGGCTTCTGTCACACGTGGTGCTAAAAACAAATTGGTTTACTTCGTAATGATATAAAAAGAAAAAAGAAAACCGAAACGTTTTATCCATTTGCGTAGTTGTGATACTGCAATATATATGAGTGTGACATGCACAACATCAATATACTATTTCTAAAATATACATAAACTTATTGGGTTCATGCCACTGAACATGAAAGTAAAAGTTTATGACAGTTTTCTAGCATCCCATCTCAGTGAAAATGCATCATGCACATACAAAAACATTATCAACCATATACCCAGATGCAAGCATTTTGCTTCTCCACAATTACTTCAAAATGTGAGTGGGGCACATAACAGTTGCCATTTTCACAATGACCAGTTCGAGTTGGCAAAGGGAAACTGACCGCCCTTTGACTTCTGCATCACAGCTGCTGAAACTCTTTTCATATCACAAGGATTGGAAATGCTGTCACTAGATGGAGTAGGTGTCTTGCTCGTATGGTCCAAAGGTTCTGCCACAGAGTGGTATCTTTCTGCATCGCGTATTCGCATAACCTCCAGTGCTTGTGTAGCTGCTATCCGTTCCTGCTCCTTGACTGCTTCTATCCTTTCCCTTTCTTCCTGTTCCAGCTACAGTGATGAATAAAAAAAAATGAATAAGCTACCATGCCATATCGGACATGGTGGACATTCTATTCTCTGGCTCTTCCCTCCTGCTCTAACTGTAGTGATGAATGAAAGGTAAGAGAAATCATTGTGAAATACATTTGTGTGTTCATTATATACACTCAATCCTGGTTGACCTTCTTCGATTAGGGACAATTACGCATGTGACATACATGTATGAGCACAAAAGTGTTGTAAGCGATACATATTAAGATGAAAAAAATATACAGATTGAATGCATAATTACAAGTAGGCAACACCTGCATTTGTTTCTGGACTGCAAATCGCTTTTCTTCCTGCTTTCTCACAGCTTTCTCCTTAGCATGTCTCTCACTTCTCTTCTGTTCAAATATTAATGCTTCTTCTCTCCTCTGCGTGAGCTGTGCCTTATCATCTGAGAGGTATATATCCATGACAGTGATATGAACATCCCAACAATAGAATTCCATTCAAACAAGATAACAAAAATGTTCTGTATACACACTTTGGTTCTGAGTAAAGGAGCTTGGTCATGTATACTTTACAAAAAATCTTCTGCTACGATTTTCACACTGTAGCAACAGTACAAGGTGCCAATGTGTATGGTCAATTTTACTTCAAAGTCCTAGAATTGTATTGACATATATGGCATATGTGGTACACCACCTACATTAAACGGATATACTTACTATAATAATACCACAACTACCACACGATGTACATACCGAACATAGGTGAAGTGAGATGCGTCCACAGACCCTTGGTTTGCTTAAATAATGAGAACTGCACAATGCCGTTTCCAACTCTTGCTTTGCTCCTGTCATCGTCAACAGCAGCATGAAGTACAATCTCAAACAGATACGGCGGAAAACTGACCTGAAAAGTTCAATGACATGTGGCTAATGGAGAAATAACTTGAAATTTGAATACAAACAAAATTCCAGCTCTCGGCATTATTAAAAGTTAAATTGTGGTTTATGCTAAACGGTAAACCTAAACATTCCTGTTTTAATTTTGACGAGACACGTACATTACCTGACCACATTACATGATGTGAGAGTAAATATAAGAACAGTTTCACACAGTCAAGTTCCACATCCTATCATCACTAACCCTCTTCTTAGCGTAACTGTGATTCCCTGATCATGATGGATTACCTGAAAGTGTAAACCGTTTACTAAACGCACGGCCCACCGCACCTGCGGCTACGTTAGTAACGCTGCAAGACCAGAATCACTCAGTGACTCACCTTGATGTATTCGTCTGTGGAAACTATGCTTATTTTGGATGGCTTCACACCTTTTAATGGCAAAACTATGTTAACAGTATCGTCATCTTCATTCCAAGCAAAATCTTTTATAATGATGGGCATCGTAGCTTCAATAATTACACCATTCCTGTAAAAATATAGGGTAAACTAACGGCATCACCATCACTAGGTACGCGCGCTTCAGCCTGTGCGGTAGATGAGTAACATATCTTTTCACCCTCACTAAACAACGATGTAACGAGTGGGTAACCCGTCTAACTTTTCCTACGATTCCGTACCCTGGCGGATCCGCAGCAACCTGCAAGTGAATATCGACCAGTTACGTCAGGCCATGTCTACGAAGTTACGAACGCGCGTTCTTGATACACAGATAAAAATTGTAAACATACATAGTGTTTTTACGTTTCCGTATGTGTGGAAACTATAGTATTGGATTTGATCTATCGGATTCCGGTGATGGGTACTAGGCACTCTAAAACCATGTGTTCAAGGTTTATAGGAAGTTTAGTAGGCGCAATAGTCGGTGACTGTATAGGTGCTGACTTTGAGTGTCGACCCTTCGTGGATACGCTGCATCTGAGCAATTTCTTGACCTCGATGGCCGGCAAAACTGGACGTAATTGTGTTTACTTCGTTACTATTGTTAAAGTGGCGTGTTGCTACACGTTGATATGTCAGCGTAGCCCATAAACTAGACAGATTGCTCTAGGTTTGTAGCCCTTCAGGCTTCACTCTGTAATGTAGATTCTGTACTATCATACTAGGCCTATGGCTCAAGGGGTCGTTGTCGTAACAGGTACTACAGATATGTACCCGAGGTACATATATGTATACACAAAGTGTACCAGACTTGTACTACAGAAGTGTACCCTAACCCTAACACTAACCCTAACCCTAACCCTAACCATAACTCTAACCCTAACCCTAACCCTAAACATACCTCATATAAAAATATAAACATAATACTAAACAACCTAAAACTACCTCGGGTACATATCTGTAGTACCTGTTACTACAACGACCCTTCGTGCCATACTATGGTGAGTAATTTTGTGAGTATAATTTACTATGGTGAGCTTACTATAGCAGTCTCACACAGGATGCACTCATACAATTCTGTACATAGTCCTGTCTCAGAACAAAGTCAAAGAACTACGCAGTAATATATTATAGAGCTGGGCAGACAATGTTGCTATAACCCTAGCTCTATAGAACTATAACCCAAGCCACCCTTCCAGGGCACAGCCTCAGGTGTGATATATTGGACAATTGAAGTCCAATTTCATAACTACTGTAACGTTTTTATACATAGAAATACATTCAATAACGTATTCAATTTCTAATCTGGCGCCCAATTAGTAATAAACACAATAGAAATAACTGAATAGTAATCTAGGTCATGTGACGTCATAGCCCCATGTTGATCGAGCGACGCCACGCTAACGCACGTTGAGTGTTGTGTATAAGATGGAAACAGACGGCGATAATTTCAATGATTCTAGTGATTATACTCAGATGATGATATTTATAGTGATTTACCAGGTGGATATAGGTTTGAGCCTGAATATACACAAGAAGAAATTGAGGAGAATAGTCTGAAAAAGCAACGCAAAGAGTCGGCACAAACTTCTCAAGAATCAGAACAGTCACAACATGGCGGAATGGAAGCTTCGGTACCCGATAGGACTGTAGACAAATACTGCTGTTCTTGTGGTGTTTGTGAATTAATGAGTACGGCACCTGCCACCTGAATGTATAATATGCTGCCATGAGAATGAGAAGACCAGGGTTATTGTAGACCAGGTGAGTCATGCGAGTACACTGATCACCGGGCTTATCACGCTCGGTCAGAATCATGTATCTGTAGGGCCTACATGTACATGCATCTACGCACGGCAAGTCATGTACATATACCGTGAATGCATTATCCACGCAGGTAATATGTATGTACATGAATATAAGTACATTTACAGGCTACATGTTTGTGTCTTGACATGATAAATGAGCATGAAAAATAACAAAAAACATCGAATATTTAACCACCGCACACACTATGTTTACATAATGACGTCGCTCAACATGGGGCTGTGACGTCACATGTTCTAGATTACTATTCAGTTATTTCTATTGTGTTTATTACTAATTGGGCGCCAGATTTGAAATTGAATACGTTATTGAATATAAATCTATGTATAAAAACGTTACAGAAGTTATGAAATTTGACTTCAATTGTCCTTTAATGTGGTAACACAGTGCGTTTTATTATATTTCAGGTGGAAACAAGGTCAGTTATACAGACGATACGGCCATGACAAGATCTGTGGCTGATTCACTCATTTCAAAAAAGGCATTTAATGCATCAGACATGGCTATGAGGTAAAGTAAATGTGCGTAAGTGCATGGGGGTATGTGTTTGTGCAAGTTTTTTTTATTTGGTCATGATACATGTACGCAGTATATTCAGTCTTATCTATGTAACCGAGCAATATCGATAGGAAATCTATTTCTGTGAACAAATAAAATGTACTGCCTTATTGCAATCTACAACACGTAAAGTTAAAAAAGGCTTCCCTCCAGACTGTCAAATTGGCAAGCTTTGGAAGTTCATATTAGATCCGCAGTACAATATAGCCACACATGGGATAGTTTGTTCCACAACCATGCAGTCTGCAGGTTTTTATAAAACTGACCATACCCAAACTGTTCTACAGTGCATACGTACGTTTTTGATGTACAAAAGTATTTGGAAGTACAAAGGAGGCTACATCATTTGTTCAGGTTTGCCGAAGAGTACTTCCAGAATCCAGGCCGAGGCTACGGAGCCAATGTTGTCCAGGTTTTCCAAGACCTGCATGTGGATCGATACGCGGATGTGTACCAGTCAGCGAGGGAGCAGTTTGGTGGGACTGGATCCTATGGCAATGGAGGAGGCATGCGAATAGCACCAGTAGCACTTTTTGCAATGAATGATACAGAGAAACTTATCCAGGTATCTATTGGTATAGACTCTCCTTAAAGTTTTGCAGTCTTCTATAATGAGGTATGCTGCAGTCATTAATTGAGAGAGAAGGAGTAACTGTGTAAGTGAGTGAGTCAGTGAGTGTGTGCTGAGTGACAATTTTGCACTCCTCTGTTATGACATATACTGCAGACATTGAGAGAGAAGGAGTGACTGTGTAAGTGAGTGAGTCAATGAGTGAGTGCCGAGTGACAATTTTGCACTCCCCTGTTATGACATATACTGCAGACATTGAGGGAGAAGGAGTGACTGCGTAAGTGAGTGAGTCAATGAGTGAGTGCCGAGTGACAATTTTGCACTCCCCTGTTATGACTTATACTGCAGACATTGAGAGAGAAGGAGAGACTGTGTAAGTGAGTGAGTCAGTGCGTCAGTGAGTGTGTGCCGAGTGACATGGCCATGGGCAAGTCTATACCTACTTTCTCACTGGCTTTCTCTCATGCTCTTGCCTTTCTTTCTTATGCATGCACACTCACTTACGTACTTGTTTGTTTGTTTCAGATTGCACGAGACAGTACTTTAATCACCCACACAAATAAGAAAGGCTATAATGGTGCTATACTACAGTGCTTAGCCGTGCAGCAAGCTCTCACACATCAACATGCGCCGAGTGTTCGTCTAAGCAGAGAAAAATTTGTTGAAGATTTGCAAGAAAAGATGAAGAAAATAGAAGGGTCGGTACATGGTTGTCACCATGAACTTATTATCATTGTTGTAGGCAGGAAATTGAAAAGAGCAAATGTCTTTTAAAATATGATGTGAGCCATATACATTCATTAACCGCATGGTGTAATAGTAGCTGGTAATCACAGACAGCTTGGGCTCAAAAAAAATTGCACACGCATATATTTCTATAGACACTATCAAGACAGGTTGTTTGCAATACCTGCAACAATGACAAAATGTGTTTGTTCAAAATCACACTATCTTGAAACAAAAGTATTAAGTGTGTTTAGCTTTTAAAAGGTAATTTTCATCCATGTGCTTTCTAGGAAGCTCGATGATGCAAACAAAGCTACGAAGGCATCGGAAGAGGAAGCTAAAGTTAAAGATGTGAAAACCCAAGGTGACCCATCCAGCAAAGATTTTTTTTATGTAGAATACCTGCAGAAGGTGAAGACGCTTATCAGTTATGGAGATGTGCCACGTATAAAAATAAAACACGTTCTAGGTATGTTCTTATTTCGGTTTTGGGTTTTTACAAAGATCAGTTGAAGCCATAGGAGCATGCTGATTAACAGAGCTTGAAAAAAAAATATATATATATATATAAATTCCACGTGTGGCCAAACGTTACGTCACGATGTACTACTTCCAAATGTTAACTGACAGGTCACTATGGGACGCCATGCAGGACAGGTTAATTATGTGTACAAAACCGGACAAAATTTAGGGGTCGTAGGGCGGGCCCGCCACTGGCAAAACCAATTCTGTCAAGCTGGGCGTTTTTCCCTGTCCACAAAACTCAATTCTTTCAATCTCTGTCCCACAAAACTCAATTATTGTGAACACAAAACTCATTCTGTCAATTCCGTCTGTCCCACAAAAACTCAATTTTGTGAAGCCACAAAACTGGCAATTCGTCAATCCTGTCTCCAAAAAACGCTCAATTTGTGAACACGAAAATGTCAAATCTGTGCAAATCCCTGTCCCAAAAAAACTCCAATTGCTGT